TTAGCGACAGTTAATGTAATCACTAACACAAAGAAAGATGTTGATCGTGGCAAAACTTATATAGTGATTTATAATATTAATAGGTTTCACTAATGCAAGTTTCCAGTTACAATAATTGTCATAACTTTTTTAGGAAAATTTCTTGATAAAGCATTAAATAAACGATAACTGATAATAAACAATAAGATCTCATGATCAGCAAAAAAGGAAATTGATTTAAAATAATATACTAAGAAAAACGCTTTTAACTAACGCTAAATGTCAAGTAATTATCTTTAAAATATAATTAATGCCTAATCCTTTTTTTACTATAAACTTGAACTATTCAACAGGATTGTAGTGTTGCTTTAACAAGTTTTCGCTTATATGGGTAAAATACCTGACTGTATTATCAGGAGTTCTAATATGCACAGAATAAAAGGGATGAGGGCGGATATCGATGATGGTTGATTGAGGTTGATTCATACAAGTCAAAAATTTATCTCCCTATTTTTAATTTAACGTTAATCAGTAGATAATTGTAATGTAGATTGTTATTTTAAGTGCCAACCTTGCGATGTGTATGATCCGCAGTTTTATCCCGAGCAAGTTCAGGTTGTAAATTGGTACGATCTTTGTACTTCTCAACTAATTCTTGAGAAACTTTAATAATAATTACAAATTATTGTTAATTTAATATTATGAATGAATATGTAAATTAACAAATTTAAAATCTCAAAATACTCAACCGTTTCCGAATTGTTCGATATTTCCCTCGGGCATCAAGACAAAAACAGAAAAAGATTGAAATTTAATACAATCCTCAATGCGACCACCTTTTTTCATAACCTTTTCAAATGAATCATTACGGAAACGTTCTTTTTTAAGCTGTGGTGAAGGTATTTCTTTCGCTTCGTCAGTTTTGAATTTATCAAAATACTCCTGAGAGATGTTGGAGTAGGTTTCAACATCATTCGAAGGTAATCTTACGTGGACACTAAAAATCAAATTTAGTAGTCAAAAAGAATTAATCTAGAAAGACCAGTAAGACCAGTATATAAAATCTGAGTCACAAAACATGTGCACAAAATATGTCAATATGCACAAGGCAAAATTTATACGTAAAAAAAACTAAAAAACATTTGACTGCGCACATAGTGCACATTTATTTATTCACTGTGAAAGAACAAGTATTATATTTATATTACGTGTAATTTCCTCGCTTATTCTTGTGATATTCAGTGATAACTCCACCATTTTGCATAACTCTCAAAAACTTGCTCTTTTTCAGTTCAGTAACCTCGGGTAACTCTTCATCACTAGTCTCTGAAGCCGTTTCTTGGCCTGATTCTGAAGTAACTTCTTGAGATATTTGTTTCACATCAATAGGAAAATTTACATTTGGTATATCCTTTTCGACTCCATCTGGCATTCTAACGCGAACTGTATAAGAATTTGGCGTGAGGCTGATGATTTGACCACCTTGGGCGATGTAATCTTGAAGAGAATCTGTATCCATCATATTATTTTCGTTTTTTTTTTTTTTTTTTTAGATATTTTCGGCTTTTTAGATACTGTAAATTGCTAACCACTATTTCACAAT